CAGCCTTTTTACTAGCTAGTTCTGGTTGACCTTCTGTTTTCTCTTTATAGTTAGACGCCGGTTATCTACTACGTTCTACCCTTAAACTGACGGCTAGACAGAATGCTAAAATCAGGTACTGGAGTATTTCCTTTGGTTATATGTTAACTGGGAGTAAGATGACTAGGTACACTGGCTTCCTATCGCGGCGTTTATATATAATATAATAACTCATAGTGCGACTGGAAAGTCACTATATAAAGCGTTGATAGGGTATAACCCGTCTATTTAAGATAGTGTTAGAGAATACCCTAAAGAGTACTATATAGATACTGCGCAGAGGGTATAAGAAATCTAAGAAATAAGGAGCTTTATAAAAGAGCGACTTACTAAGGCAAAAGAGTCGATAAAGTATTATACAGATAAACACTGTATAGATAAATCGTTTAAGGTTGGTGATTAGGTATATCTTAAGAGTAAGAATATAGAAATAGGTAGGCCAAGCGAGAAACTAGATTACAAAATGCTAGGTCTATTTCTGATCTTTAAGAAGGTCGGTATATAAGCGTATAAGCTATATCTATCCCCCCGTTTCAGATTGCTACACCCAACGCACTATATATCGGTGCTAGAATTACATTATGGTGATATTCTGACCGATAATGACGCTCCTGAACCAATTAAGATTGATAATTAGGTGGAGTACGAGATCGAATGTATCCTATCCTATCGAGGTGAGAAGAATAGGTCCTACTTGGTTAAGTAGTGTGGCTACGATGACGTTAAAGCAACCTGGGAACTGCAGTCTGCGGTCGAGGATACTAAGGCCCTTAATGATTACAAGGCTAGGATGGCCATAGCGGCAAAGATACCAAAGAAGATAAGGACTGAGAACGTACACTCGAAATGTAAGAAGCTTTGATTGTGGATTAAAATTTAGTATTACATTCCCTATGCTTGCTGGAATTTATGCATAGGCGCAGGTAGGGTTGGTACGCCTAACTGGACTCAAATACCAACAAAGCGGTATTAAAAACGCGATGAAGTAGCGAAATAGACTCTATACCTAGGGTATCCTAGGAAGCAGGGGCCAAGTTTATAGGGGTAAATAAAGCGTCGCTGGGCGCGCCTATATTAGGAACCGCGCTTTCCTCTAAAATACTAGTAGGAGTATCGAAGAACTTCTTGACTTCAGAGATTTCTCCTACGTTTTCCGCGATTCCTAGGACCCCAATAACTTCTGTGGCTTCCGCGGCAGTAGCGGCCTTTTTGGCCTTGTTGGCTACACGGGTCAAGCGCTTAACGTTCTGCTCGATAATACGCACTTAGGGTACACGAGCACGCATAGGCGACGCATTGAGAGCAGTGCGGGTAGCAGTCTAAACCTCGGAAGGAAGCTATGCTATTATTAATAACGAATTCCTCCCTACAATGATATAGTTAAACTTACAGGGATGCAACTGTGCTTCACTGAAGAGTAGTAAGTGCATTTGGTATAACCCGTAAGGGTCTTATACTCGTGGTCTAGGTGGCTTTGCAGCTAGAAAAAGCACCGCTAGTAAGGCAACGGCCCCTCGATAGGCTTAGGGGTTTCTAAGCGTGGAGGTGGAGTTATAGGCCTACGGCCTACTAAAAGACGACGTTGTACCTATAGACGTGGAGATTTATCCTCCTTAGAGGAGGACGGCGCAGGACGACGATGTGCCATTACTATTCTACAAACATGGTTAGTATACGAACACGAAAACGAGGCCGTTTTCCGCAAGGAAGGGGCGGATATGACGTTAAATTTTCTCGGTATACTGTGCGGAACGCAATACCACTAAATCTGAAGATGTATCTACTATATTTACCAGCGAATGGTAGTACCCTAACTAGAACGATATTATCTTAATAGAAATTTGATGGAAATACGAATTGGGTATACTTACTAAGTGAGTAAGACGGGGCGTTGAAGAAGAGAAGAAGATGCTGGGGGTAACCTGGGTATATATATACATGGCATTCCCCTTCATCCTAACTGAATTCTCTTACCAGCAAACAACTGCTCAGCCATACCCTCACGTATAGGAGATGCCTGAGTTTATAGGCCAACTGAGATACTGTATTCGTTGGAGACCATGGCTGCCTGATTTCTTAGCGCGGTTATGTAACCACACTGCCACCTCGTTATACACACTGCACCTTTTGTTATACTATACCCTATGTTTTGGAGCATTGACGCTGGATACCTTTCCCTGTGTACCTTTTTGCCCTCATTGCGAGGTTTTTGGACGTATGGGTTTTAATGGACCAAGCTGCTCCCTTGTTTTTCTCCTGTTCCGAGCCTGCGGGGACCGCATGCCACAAGGAGGGGGATATTGTCAGGACCCTAGTACTAAGAAGGCTGATGCCTGAGGTATTGCACCTGTTAGGGTGCGTGGGGAACTGTGGGCTGGGCAGGAGCCGTGTGTGCTGCCTGCACAGCCCCCTTCAATCATGTGACCCACAACCTGTATATTATCCTCGCATGGTGCTTCTTTGGAGAAGCAGCTATTAGTTTCTAATATACCACTGCGTATACTACTATCTCTATTTCCCGATCCTCCATTACATACAGCATTCCCTCAGGCATTCCATACCTAGGGGTCTCACATATCGATAGGCTAGGAAGGTAGAAATAGATCCTCTAAAGATAGAAGGATAATAGAAGTAGATAGTAAGGTTGAGGGATTAGCGGGCCTAGTAGGTAAAGGGGTTAGGATAATAATAATACGGGAAAGTGTATCTATATCGAAATCACCTGACTAGGGGTATGCCTCCTAGCGATAATTGTCGAACTGGATTGTAAGCTGGGTGGCCCGACGAGTACGCTTGTCTATGGATTGTTATAGTAGCGGCTCGGCACTGTGATCGATAGCCTTACTGTAGCGGCTTGGCACTGTGATCGATAGCGTGGTCGACTGCCGATTGTGCTAGGCTTGGTGACCTCTGACCTTGGCACATAGGGGAACCCCTGAGGTGGTCGAACTTGTTAAAACAAACCCGAGAGAGATCCTCTCGGAAGAAAAAAAACTCTGGATAAAACCAGGACGTGCTACCATAAATGTGGCAAGTAAGCTTGGTGGGGAAGATGATGATATTATGAACCCCTTGTTGGGGGTGCTAACTAGCTAACTATGACTAAGCTGTGACAATTATACCACCAATATAGGGTCCTAATTGTAAAATTAGCCACTGATATCCAACGATACATATAGAGATAGTGATAGTCTAAACATACCAATCGCAGGACCACTGACAGATCCAACCATAAAGCAGTCAGCAGCCGTCCCACGCACAGTCTATTAACTCCCGTTAGTGTCACGATTGGCCTTTGCGGGACTCGTACTTTCCCGTTCGGGATTGTACCGTTGGTCGTTCCTTCCTGTTCGAGGGAACTCGTTTGCGCAGACAGTCGTACCTTCCTTCTGGGATAAATGAGGATAGGGCTTTGCCCCCGAAGGGTTATAAAGACCCCATTGTTGTTTTTACATTTGTTTTCTTTTCTTTCCTTCTCCATACTTGATATTCGATTAGCAATGCACTTCTTTTGTTGAAAGGAACCTGGCACGTAACAGTTAGTAACCAGAAGACAATCGGAATCAAACTAATATACCGGTTCAAAGATATCCGCAAGAATAGTCTATCCAGCAACCATAAAGAAGGTACCCGTAAAGCCTCCCAAAATACGTATTGCGATGAATATATACAAATTGATCGCCGCGGCGGTACTAGCCGAGCATGTATAAAGTACAAGGATAGCTGTATTATAGGTATTGCGACGCCCGAATAGGTTGGTGATAGGGCCCCAAATAAAAGACGAGAACCCTATAGCACTTAGTATACATTTATACAGAGATCAGATGAAGGGTAATCTCGGAATAGTATCGGGCCGGGTAGATCAGACGAATTGATCAGGTGATTGTAAACGAAATACAGGGCTTCTCTACATAACTTATGGAGATCACGTGATTGGTGCTGCAGCACTCCCGTCGCAGCACCGCAGCACCGAACCAAGGGCCTGGTGCTGCGGCACTTGTCAAGGCCTACTTAGTAGTATAAACCAAGTAGACAAACCCGGCGGTTATCTATAAGCTTAATATACTATTTATGGAAGACGAAGCCGCCGCTATAGAGTATATCCAGGACTAGAGAAGGAAGATATAAGAAGAATATAGAAGGCTGTTTAATATAATACAGGAGATAGAAAAGAAGGTTTTCGGGATAAAATCCTTCTTCCGGAGGCATCGTCTAGGCCTTTTACCCTGTTAGGGTTACCGAGAGGGTTTTAGCTTAGTTAACTAGGGACGGTCAACTTCTCGCCGGGGGGTATATAGTAAAGACACTTAGAACCCCTATATTTATAACCTTATCTTTCAGGTAGGAAGGACATAAGGCCTAGCTCTTAAGTAAAGTTCTAGAGGGACAGTATTAGAGAATCATCATCACCCCGGAAATGAAAAACGAGTTACGAGATATCTATACAATAGGAGATTATATACTATGGTGTGATCTATATAATCCCTATGCTTACTAGCTCACCGTCCTAGATGGTTGGTATTGTTTTGTCGTTCTCGTCTTACCTGCTTGGCCAGGCTGCCCATCGTGCATATCCCTCTTCACTTGGTATATTAGCTCTAGAGTTAGCCATGGATGTCTTCCATGGTTGGCAATCATTAGTGGATACCTTGGCATATTAGCGCCTTTTCACCCAACTATGATTGGTCCAGGCAATGACACGACCACGGGATGATGGATCCTTTCCACGCCCTGCGGATGATTCCTCTGTGGGTTGGCAGCTTATCTTTCTTTAAATTGGCTCCTGAAACCTTCCTAGGTTTCTTCCAGGTTCCTCCAACATGTTTCTTATGGTGAGCTAAGCATTTTTGAATTTTCTAGCCTTGGAACAGTTCACGGATTCTGTTTCGTCTCCTACGGGAATATTTCCCTACTTTTTCTTTTGATCGCCGTCGACCCTGGCTCTGAGAATCGACGAAGTAATGGGCTCATACTCCCCAACAAAAGAGACTGAAAAGGGGCTTCAAGCTTCGCTAGAGGGGACGACTGACGGTACTCACGTGTCAAATGTTGACTATGGCACGCAACTCCCCCCCATCGATGGCGGAATGAATGCCTGGCTGTTCCTCGCTGCCTGCTTCGTTATGGAGGCTCTCGTCTGGGGATTTGCATTCACGTACGGTGTCTTCCAAGCGTACTACAGCGATATCCCCCAATTCAAGGGCTCCGGCAATATCGCCGTCGTCGGAACCTGCGCTATGGTAAAAATTGAATATCTCATCTTCTAACCCAGCCCGAGCTAACGTACATACTCCAGGGAATCATGTATCTCGACCTCCCTCTTGTCTTTGCCGCCTACCGACAATGGCCCAAATACCAGCGCTTCGGCTGCGGTCTAGGTGTGCTACTAATGTGTGCCGCTCTCGGCCTGAGCTCCCTCGCCACAAATACAAATCACCTTATCATAACTCAAGGAATCTTCTATGCGCTCGGCGGCAGCATCGCCTACGCCCCCTGTATCCTCCTAATGGAAGAGTGGTTCGACCGACGAAAGGGCCTCGCCTTCGGCGTCATGTGGGCCGGCACCGGAATCGGTGGTGTCGTCCTCCCCATCGTCATGGAACAGCTGCTGGGCAAGTACGGGTTCCGGCTTACCTTGCGTGGCTTTGCAGTCGCGTTGTTTATTCTCACTGCGCCGCTGGTCTACTTCGTCAAACCCCGCGTGCCGATCGCAGATAACCTACCCAGTCCGCCACCCCCGAACTTCCGGTTCATGTTTACGTCCACGTTTGCCCTCTTCGAGTTTTGCAATACTATCGAGGCGCTCGGTTTTTTCTTACCATCTATCTACCTCCCAACTTACGTACGTATGCTCGGTGCCTCGACCTCCCTCCAAGCACTGACTGTTATCCTCTTCAACTTGGCCTCCGTTGTCGGCTGCGTGCTTATGGGCGCTATCATCGACAAACTCGACGTGACGCTTTGCATCCTCGTTTCAACTGTTGGATCCTCTATCGGCGTTTTCCTCATCTGGGGCTTCTCTATGTCCCTTGCTCCTCTGTTCCTCTTCTCAATCGTATACGGTCTCTTCGCAGGCTCATACACCAGTACCTGGCCTGGCATTATGCGCGAGATAGTCCGTAACCAGCCTTCCGCCGAATCAAGCATGGTCTTTGCCTGTCTTGCAGCCGGGAGAGGTGTCGGAAATTTGGTTTCCGGGCCCCTTAGTGCGGCTCTTATTAAGGGGATGCCGTGGGAGGGGGACGCAGGGTATGGATATGGGAGTGGATATGGATCCTTGATTGCTTTCACCGGAGTTACAGGCGTTGTGGGTGGGGGAAGTTATGTTGCGAAGCGTATGAAGTGGTTATAGCCTCTGCTAACTCACTATTGTGCCCTACCGACGTGGTGGATATTGGTGGATTATCTGACAATGGCTGATATACGAGCGCCTCTAGCGATATTTTAAATCTTGGAGCCAAAAATACATGTGTTCTTAGATTCTAGGGAGTTGATGACTCGAATAGCAATTTCCAACTTTAACAATCATCCGGCCATATCCGTCGAAACGAAGTGCCATTTCAGGCCAGTTAATCACAGAGATGGAGCGAGACAGATCGCCATTTTGGAGTATCGACATATGTGGTGTTGACCAAAACCTCCATCACCGAAATGGCCTTATCAAAGATATCAATCTTCTTATGGCCTATACTTGTTCCATTTGAAACAAGCTTAAAAGGTACATCCGTGCACTATCGGCATCTCAGCTGTCAACGATCTGCGCATGTACCTGGTATGACCGAATCACTTGGCCATTCATCTGATCCTCCATCAACACAACACGGTCAATCGAGGTGGGTTTGCCGAGCCTGATGGTATACTGGCCCTTTTCATTCGAAGAGTGCATAGCATCACTTACAATAGGCTTGCTATACCACGAGCTGATGAAATCACCTAGTTGCTTTTAACGGGCTGCGTGTTCCTTTGGTATAGCTCCGCTTCGATCAGGGGAAAGATCCAACTCGAGGATACAGTTTCGGCCCATGGTCTTGTGTCTTCTTCCTTTTATGGCGCAAACAAATGCAGAAATAATTACAAGCTGGACAGCACTAAATAAGGAACTAGTATGAACATTGGATTTTTGACCGAATTCTCTACTATAGCAGTAGTCAGTGAATAATATGATGATTGAATAGAGAATTTCTTTTTTTAGAAAAAAACATACAACAGTGAGGATTCGCTGGTGGTCACCCACCCAACTACTAACTCACCGGCGTGTGGCTTAAGTACGGCTGAGCGGACGGGAAGCCCTGTTTTCCACACCCTATGGTCGTATGTATCA